AGAAACGATGTGCAAGTTAGGTTACTTTTTAGATGCTTAAAGGCACCTTGCAAAGAACTAAAAAGGGGCTGGGGTAAGAGAAGACGAGCTGCTTCTCACCTCCCTCTCCCATGAAAGCGCATCTCTTGCTTCTATGCTGGGACATAAAGAAAGTGAGTTGGCTTCAGATGAGATTTGTCTGCTCTGAAGTCTACCTTCAAGCTTAAGGCATGGCTCAGGCTCCACACCTAAGTATACGTGCGTTCTACAATGCCTAATTCATGGCGTGCATACACGCACACAGGTGTGTGTGTGCCTAAAGTGGTGGAGCTGGTATACCATGGAGCAAGATGTTTGCTCGTATCAGAGATTAAAGCCCTAATAGGTGCCTAATAGTAACAGGGAACCACGTTCCTCTGATACACAGCACATACTTTGCTACTCGCTTGAGTTACTCTTTTTAAATAGAGATTAAGACATTTTTTGGATTACTTCTCCATCCCCAAAATCCCATGACAGTTGCTGGGGTTTCTTTTGTTTTTGTAGATGTAAGCTGCCTCCTTGGGTGGGCACAGAATGTTTTAAAATGTATTAACATGGGTTTATTCCACATTGGAGTGTAACTATTTCTGTGCCTCCTTTGTAGAACAGTAGCGTTGGTATATAAGGTGACATATAAGGTATATAAGGTGATGTCTTGGCGTTTGAAGTTGATACAGTGTGCTTCTCAAGTCTCTGACCTTAGGTTTTGAATGAGCCTTTTGGACTGCACGCTGTGCTTGCATAGGATCTGGTCTGCTACTGGAACAACAAGCAGACTTCTATATCCCATAATAGGCAAACTGAGTGCTCCGACTGTCTCCAGCCCTGACTCTGGTGGCTGTTCTCTTAGGCTTCTCTTTTTTCCATCATGTCATCTGTAAAAATGTATGATACCCTTCCTGTATTATTCAAATACTCGGATCTCAGCAGGAATGTCTACAGTTTATGCATTTTGTGTTAATGCATTTACATACATTTGTGAACTGTGTTTAGAATAAATGCACAGAATTTGGAGGGGCTCTGAGCACTAAAACAAGATCAGATAGTGAAGTGCTTAGGAAACAAACAAAAAAAGCAGATACAGGGGTATACATTCAGATAGTTGATTTTGCTACAGGAATTGAAGGTGAGGAACTGGTAGTTCAGCAAATAAAATCATTTTTGTGCCTCAAGAGGACATCGCAAAACTAATTTGTCAACTTTTTGCTCTTGTAAAAATGTATATGCTCTCATGAGATGCACGAACATAAATACAACCAGCTACAGGGCAGTGAGCAGCTGGAATTCTGGCCAACTTGTGGGCACAGCGTCTGAAGGAAGACCTGCACTGGAGATGGTCCAGAGGAGAGCGCTGGCGATGAGGACAGTGTGGGAGAGGAAGAGCGCAACAGCTGGGCCATTCACCTCGAGAAAATGAAATTAAATAAAGATAACATTGAAGTAAAAAGCAGCAGCCACTGAGGATATTATCTGTGGAGCACAGGACAAGAAGCCAGAGGGTTACATTGCAGTGAGGAAAACAGGTTTGGGAAATCTTTCAGGGGTGCCCTGGCTGAGGTGCCCGAGAAGCTGCAGTAGCCCTGTGGTGGGAGAGCTCGAAGGATGAGTTTGGCAAACGCATGGAAGAGCTGAACCGGCCTGGGGTCTGCTCCTCAGCCTGGGCGAATGGAGGGCTCCTGGTAGAGCTCCAGCTGGAGGCTTGAGCCCACAGACGGAGCTTTGGTCCCAGTGCTAACCCCTTGCTTCTGCTGTTTGTCGTCCACTTGGGTAAACGCTTCAGAAATGTGCAGACCTGACTCCACCAAGATCTACCCCTTCCTTCAGTAATTCCTTCCGAAGGACAATCACACGACTCGTCTAAACACAGAAAAAACTTACTTGCTCTTTCCATTTGCCCCGTTTCAATTGCCAAGCATTGGCACTTTCTGTGCTTAACAAGTCTTTTAGTTACCTGCTCTTCTCTTCTGTTGGAAATGCTTACATGCTTTAATTAAGCTCGTCTGTTTTAATAAAATGCACAAAATGTTTCCACTGTGGTAAAGGGAGCTGTAGTGCTATCTGTCTTCTGACCGACTGTACTGCATGTCTTCAATTTGTCTGCACTGACTGAGCTAGCAGAGCCCGAGTGTGGCCAAGATACAATAGATTGAGCACAGCTCCCACTTAGTAGGAGAAAAACCTCCTGCGGAGAAGTAAAATCATCCTGAAAATCATCCAGCCTTTGTGGAAAAGATGTTATTTTGGCTGCAACTCCAAGGGAACTACTGATGAGCTTGAAGCTAAGCCCAGATACCAATCTTGGCAAAAACAAAAGCATCAAACTGGGTAAGAGGGGAAAAAAATCCAGCACAAGAAGTGTGTGGTCCCCTCTAATGGAACAATCTTCTGCACGTTCTCTGGTGCAGAGCAGCATGGTAAGAGCAATGGCCTGCAGACGTACAGCATCATTTGTTTACTGGTATAGAGTTCCCTTAAGGGAGCAGCGTGTTCCCCCACTAAAAACTTTCTCTTTATGATTTTTCCTTTTTTATTTGCCATTGAGGAAGGTCTCTCTCACAGTTGACTTTCTGGTGTTTGCAATTGTGCCCTTAAATAAATAATGTTTCATGAGACTTGAAAGGGAATTTCTGGAGTACAGACCTGTCTGGGACTCTGGAGCTCTTCCCGCGTGTTAGGATGAAATGCTCTGCCTTTCGCTCGGGGTCTTTAAATAACTCATTGTGCTTATTGCCAGGCAGGGGCTCTTTCACACACTGTTCTCCTGGCGAGGACCCAGCCCGGCTGGCTGCTGTGCCCACCCCGATCCCTCCCCAGGCCTGAGGAGCAGAGGTAGGCCTCGCGCACAGTTCCTGCTCTGCAGACCACTGCAGGCCCTCCTGGGACAAGGGGTGCTGAATGCATTTGAGCCACTCATTGTTTCACCCGGGGTGTGCCAGCTCTGGCTGAGCTGGAGGCGTGCACGACCCGTTCTGACTTCTCCAAAGCGGTTTTGATGTGCGCGAGCCCCCTCCTGCCAGTGCTGCCTGGTGTTTCTAAATTTACCCTCTCGCACAGCTGATTAGGGAGGCAGGAAGCGATAGATCCTGAAGCTTTCAGGAGACAGCCTCTCCCCGAAGACGTACTTCAGTGAGCTAAATGCACAGCAAACAGCATGCAGGCAGGCGAGATCTCAAGCCCGGGCATGCCAATGTAAGTGATAACATCAAAGAGTTTGTTGCTTCCTTCATAAGCTCTCTATCATTTTTTTTTCTTCGAATGGTTTTATTTTAAAATGCAGATGAGGTTGTATTGCAGCTTCTCCCTGCCCTGCAAAGGAAGGATGGGATGTTCGGGGTCAGCACTGGGGTAGCTGAGGCAGCATTTTGGTGAGCTGAAACTAGAGCTTTGGCACTGGGAGTGGTTTCTGTTGGTCTCCCTTATCGTTTTGGCAAATGCTTGAAGGAGCATTGTCTCTCCCTCTTCTATTTTTGGGCAGAGAGATGAGAACACTTTGTTCCCTTCAAGTAGTGATTCAGTCAAGTTAGCAGAGAGCTCCCCATCACACGTGTGCTTCCACCTCGTGCAAAACAACATCCCTTTTTTTCGAGGCTATTAACCACGTTGTTCCCAGCCCACAACCGATGCCAGCAGTCAAGGAGCCTGATCTGTAAAATGCACTGGTTCTCTTGATTTCTTGGCATGGAAAATAAGAAAGTAAAACTATCCTCATTTAATCCAAGTGAGCTTTTCTAGTTTGCATTGAAAAGAAGAGAGTGAAACCACTTGTTTGATAACTCTGGCTGAAGTGGTCACTCATGAATGGAGGAGCAGGAGTACCCCACAGGGTCACAACCAAATACTGAGCTCTGATAAAGCTCAGACTTTTGGCAAACCTATTCTCATGTGCCTCACCTGTGAAAGGGGTATAGTTAATTTGCCACTGTGAAAATGACTTGCTTCTTTAGGTAGGTTCAAAATTTTTCCTTTGCAAGCTAACAAGTCATTCCTGAAAGGCATCCACAAAACAAGCAAACAGAACAGTAGGGTTAAGAACTACCAAAATATTTCCTGAAAGTGCAAAAACCTGGCCTGGAGAGGGTTCTTCAGAGCCAAGGTGAGCTTGGCCTGCTGCTCTCCAGAGGTATTTCAAGTGCCTGCTTATAGAGCCTGACTCCTCCGTGGCGTCACCTTTGCAGGGCTGGCAGCGCTTGTATCTGTCACGAAACCCTGGCACGCCAGAAGACTTCTCTTGTAAGCCTGGCATCTCTCATTTTGTACCAGTGGGTTGCTTGACTGTTTTGCTTTGGATACAGTGCAGTTCTTTCTATGAAAAGCAGGAACAAAATGCTGCTAAGTCAAATCACAGATGTAGAAATGAATTACGACATGTAGTATAGTCCCTGGAAAATTCTCCCCGGGATGTTCTTTGACTGTGCTTGCTGCTCAGTATAAACCCGTGAATGCAATTCTGTCTGGTGAGACAAGGGGACAGAAATCTGCAGTCAGGCTCACTACTGAAAACACCATTGAAAAGGTATAACTAAGCATGCAGGCATGCCTGGCGCAATTATATCAACGAAAAAGCAGTCATTAATCTGCTATTTCCCATGAAGTTTACTAATCCTGTAAAGCCACCTTAAAATGCTTTTGCTGACAGGTGAGTTGCTCGATTAATCCATTCAGTAAGTACGTGGAGTCTGTACCTCACTTACAAAAAAATCATTAAGATTCCTTTGCAGTAATTCTTTATTGGAGGGCGTGATGGCCAGGTGTCAGAAATATATGTAATTCCCATTCCCCGGGTTTAGTTCAATCATCAGAGTGTGACCATGGTTAAAACATAAGAAAAACTGAACCAAGATATTCCTTTCAGAATATGGATAGATAAAAGCAAATACAGAGCCAGCTAAATAAGCATCCTTTTTGATAGCTATTGGTATGCAATACATTGCAAATTAATCATTAAAAATAGTTTTAAAAATAAATAACAATAAATGCAATTGTTTTAGTTCCTAATTTATTTTTCTGTATGGGGAAAAAAGTTTGTGGGAGGGTTATGTTGAAGCACAGCTGAGTAAGCAGTAGATGGTACATCCTCTAAATAGTAGATGGTACATCCTACTCCATTTAGTGGGATTTTTGTTCCCCTGATTTACAGCAGTAATTCACTTATATCTATTACTTTAAAATTGCTCCTTGCTCTTGGCTTTAAACAATGGCATAGATGAAGCTAGTGTCAGCAGAAACCCCTCTCAGCAGAGCCCGTGAGCCCCGCTGGAGCTGCCCGACTGCTGGTGCTGGCCATGGGCTTTCGTGTGGCCGAGTCAATCGCTCTGATCCTAAACACGCTAATTACACTCATCTGCTACAATGTAAAATAAGCCAGGAGCTCTGCACAACATAATTAAGAGTGGTGACAGGGCTTTCTAAATGCTGTTCTCAGCCTGAAGTAAATCACAGAACCATGTACGCGACCTCCAACGAACCAGATTAGGTTTTGCATGAGGAGCACTTGCATGTTTCTAACCTTCCCCTCGCAGCGTAATTCCACCTCTGGGTTAAAAGACCTGGGAGGAACTGGAAAGTAAACCAAATGCTACTCTCAGCACTGCTCTGCTTTGCACTGTCCACTCTTCTGCCAGGATGCCAGATGCTCCAGCAGCCCACCAGACAGTGCCCTCCCAACAAGGGTTTGCATACAGCAGCCTGGGATCTCCTGTCCCACCAGTGATCCAGCCACCTTGCCTGAGATGTGACCAGCAAGCCCACATGGCTAAAAGCTCCTGTGTAGACCCAGAAACCCTGAATGCCAACAGGATTCATCCCCTGAACGCAGTAAGGACAGGAGTGCCCCCACACAGGGCTTCTCTTGCAGTGTTACTTCTGTGAAAGGGGACTTAAATCCTGTGAAAGGGGAGAATCACAGTCATTCAGGTTGGGAAAGACCTCTCAGATCATCTACTCCAACCCTTAACCTACTATTGAAGTCCACCACTAAACCATGCTACTAAGTTCTACATCTACATGTTTCTTGAAGACCTCCAGGAGCAGTGACTCAACCACTTCCCTGGGCAGCCTGTTCCAATGCCTCACAACCCTTTTGGTGAAGAAATTTCTCTTAATGTCCAACCTAAACCTCCTCTAGTGCAACTTGAGGCCATCTCTCTTTGGGCTCTTCTCCCAGACACAAAGTGATAAGACAATCTCTACCTCACTACAGCCTCCTTTAAGATAATTGTCAAGCACGATGAGGTCTCCCTTGAGCATCCCTTTTTCCAGGCTAAACAGCCCAGCTCCCTCAGCTGTTCCTTGTAAGACCTGTTTTCTAGACCCTTCATCAGCTTCATTACACTTCTCTGGACTTCAGTATTTCAGAAATCCACACAGCTTAAGGAAGATCTGAAAAGAGCTGTGCATGGATATACTTGGCTTGGCTAGTTTGGAGAACTCCTTGATGAGGTCCTGCTGGTCAGAGGGGCATACAACTTTGGTATGGTCAAAATGAGACCAATAGCTGGAGCTGACGTGGTTATTCTACAGCATTTGTGTGAATGGCAGCTTTTAAGTTCATGGGTATCCAGTGGAGAGGCAGGAATTCATCATCATTGATGTAGGGGTGGAAATCCGCTGTGTAACCAGCTGGGATAATCTGTCACTCACTGAGAACAGAAAAGAACAGGCCTTCATACCTTCCCTTGTCATTCAGAATAAATGGAGCAGTCAGCAAATTGATTTTCTTTTTTTTTTTTTTTAATTGAGCTTTTTGGTCCTTCCCTTTTTTTTTTCTTCTGGTCTAACTCTGATGCTTTTTTTTTTTTTTTTTTTCCCAAAGCAGAGGGCTACGAAATGGATGCAGCCAGTCTTACCCTAAGCAGATATCTTTCCTCTCCATCCATCCATCCAGCAAAGTGGCCACCTAATCCCAATGGTATGGGCAACTACAGGATGAATAAAAATTCTTTCCCAGGAAAGAAAAAAAATGAAAAACTTGGTCTGATTTTGAACAGATGGAGTTCACATTGGCTGCCCACACGCAGAAGGAAAAGGAAACATATCATACATAGCAGTGGGATAGCTGATATATCCACCAAGTCATGGCTCCCCAGCTGAGTAAGATGACCCCAACAGCAATTCAAAAACTTTGGTGCTTTTCAGAGGCCTGTTGGCAGCAGCCACGCAAATAAATTTTGAGAAGGTCATGCATCAGAAGAGGCCCCAAATGTGCAGCCTGAGTATCCTCTTGCTGATGTTTTGAAAGCCAGAAGAAATTCTCATCACAGATTACGTTTACTTCTGCACTTGCATGTTAGTTTTACCAAGGGGGAAGTAAGCGGCAGCGTACGTCTCTGAGTTGTTTTAAAATTTCATTATTCAACCACAATTCTCTTATGCAGAGCAGTGCTCAACTTTTGAACTGACTCTATCTGAAACTGAGGAATTTTCTTTGTCCTCCATGCTTTTCCTCCTAGGAAAAAAAAAACAAAAAACCTGTAACAGTCGATTGGGTATGTATATTTTAAATTATTATTTCAAAAATGCCCAGGGTTGAACATCTGAAGGGCAGGACCTCAAACGGAAGATAATATATACACCTAAAAAAATCCCGGCTCAATATAAATCTGAGTTGTGTTTATGTTCCTGAAATAACTCTCTAAAGAATCAAAGCAAAGAGAGGGTTTTTTTGGTTGGTTGATTGGTTGTGTTTTGTGTGTGTGTGTTTTAGCTTAATATTTTCTGGACTCTAATATATTTGATTTCTGTTAAATTTAGCTTTATTATTTTTAGGTTGTGTTTGCTTTGGACTGATTCTGGCATCCTAAGTTATTTTTATTTTGTTTATGGTACATGCTTATAAATTTAACATGGTTACTTAAACTATTCTTGATTGTGAAAACTTTCGTGCCATCAGTATTAAAACAACAAAAAGTGTGTCATTTGTAGTGATATAAAGAAAAACAGCAAATTTTGAGGTCAATGGATTTTTTCATGGTAGATTAAACAATCCTTTGGTAGTTGTATTTTGTTTTGCAGTAGTAAATAAGGAAGAAATCTCTCTGGCAGCATCAGCTGGATCTCCAGCCTGTCCCCAGAGTGGGCTCAGTGTCCTCCTGCCCTCTGATGAAGAACAGGGGAACGAACTGCTGCAAAGCCTCAGGAGGGCTGCTCTCCTCTTAACTCCAAGGAAAACCACTGCCTGCCCATATCCAAAGGGAAGAAAGAGCCTTTAGAAACACTGAAGCACCTCAGAAAGCAAATGCTGAACATTAAGGAGTAATATTTCTCCTTTTTAGTGAGTCGGGGCTGAGACGCCATGACGAGCTACCACGCCTGAGGTGTTGCTGGAGGCATGCACCAAGGGTAGCCCTTGCTTGCAGGTGATGCTCTTTGCCTGGGTGCCTTCAGGCTCATGGCTAAGCAGCATGCTCCTCGTGGCTCTTGTTTGGCACCTCCTCACCTGATCAGTCACCAGAACGAGGTCCTCTGTCAGCCCCCAAAGTGCTTGAGGCTGAACGTGGCGCTGACTCATTGCATCTCAACAGCGTTGTCTCCATGTGGGAATTTTCAGGGAGACCTTGAGGCGTTCCGATGGTTTTTGATACCTTTGTGTAAACCATCACACCTGTTGCTACCAGAGATGTGACAGCTCCATCTTAAACTAAGCAAAGAAAGATTTTTCAGTACGAAAAGTTGTATCAATTGAAACTTCAGCACTTTGACAGCACTTGGGACCTGAATGGAACTGGAAAATAACATCTGGGCAATGAAAGACTTACCTCAGGGTTATTTATTGTTTTATCATCTGGGCCAGGGCAATCCTGAGCACAAACATAGGTTGGGTGGAGAATGGATCGAGAGCAGACCTGAGGAGAAGGACCTGGGGGTGTCAGTGGATGACACCATGAGCCAACAATGTGCACTTGCAGCCCAGAAAACCAACCTGGGCTGCACCAAAAGCAGCGTGGCCAGCAGGGCAAGGGAGGGGATTGTTCCCCTCTTCTCTGCTCTTGTGAGACCTCATCTGGAGCCTGCATTCAGCTCTGGGGCCCTCAGCACAAGAAGGAGAGGGAAGAATTAGAACAAATCCAGAGGAGGGCCACAAAAATGGTCACAGGGCTGGAGCACCTCTCCTGTGAAGACAGGCTGAGGGAGTTGGGGTTGTTCAACCTGGAGAAGAGGAGGCCCTAGGGAGACCTTACAGTGGCCTGCCAGTACCTAAAGTGGGCTACAGGAAAGCTGGGGAGGGACTCTTTGTCAGGGGGTGTAGGGAGAGAACTAGGGGGAATTGATTTAAACTACAAGGGAGTAGATTTAGATTAGATATGAGGAAGAAATTTTATACTCAGAGGGTGGTGAGGCCCTGGCACAGGCTGGCCAGAGAAGCTGTGGATGCCCCATCCCTGGAGGTGCTCAAGGCCAGGCTGGATGGGGCTTTGGGCAACCTGGGCTGGTGGGAGGTGTCCCTGCCCATGGCAGAGGGTTGCAACCAGATGAGCTTTAAGGTCCTTCCAACCTGAGCCATTCTATGATTCTACGATTTGGTTTGTAATTTGTCCTACACAAAGAGCTACATTAAGGTTGCCAGGTCAGCAGTCATGGCAATGTCACGTTGAAGGCTGCCAGGCAATTTTGCACTGCCTCCTCACGTACATTATTTATGCTTAGTCACTGTAATATAGTCTTCAAATAAATACAGCTACAAATTATTTTCCCTACAAAAGCACACGCTGAAAATATCCAGTGACCGAACAACCAACCTATAGTATGTAAAAGAGCCTTGGAGCCAAGATTATTTGGAAAACAGTGGTATTTCAGATATCCTTGTGTCATTGCACAATGAAAATCATTCTTAGGGTTTTCCGCTACTGTAAAACTTTTGGGATCTTTTTAGATCTTTTTCTCTATATATTTTTGTAGACTTTGTTTGGGTTTCTGAATTCATTTTTAAATAAAAAGAAAATCTAACAAACCCTTCCAGCACCCCTGGGAACAGCTGCTCTTCTCAGACCAAAGCTCTGCAATGCAGGTTCCCCATTGCCAGGAAAAGGCTGCAAGCACAGGATGGTTCATGGTGTTAAAAGTACAGAGTGTAGCTCTATGATCATGGACTGTGCTCCGGAGGTAAGGTGTAGAAGCCCTGAATGCTTCCTGACACATGGCAAACATTTCAATATTTGCTACATCATGTGGCTAATTAAACGTTGTGCAAATAGGCTCTTACGTGGTTTGAACCTGGTCCCTGCTCATGTCATCTGATGTCATGCTTTTTGCATCAGAAGAGAAGGTAGTTGTTTCCTGTCCTATAACCACTTTATTATTATTATTATTAACTTCATTTTTTATTTTTTGTTTGTACTTTCTCCTTCGTCCTTTCTACTTTTGAAATGAAAAACAGTAGCTTGCTTAAGTGCCCTTTGTGTGAAATTGGTCCACAGCCTCCACCACTTTGTTGCCCTTCTTTGAACCTTTCCATTCCTACACCATCATTTTTGAAGGAGAAAACTGCCCAGAGTTTTCCAGGCATGAGCACAACCTGTACTTCTCCAGTGTACAATACTGTCATCTCATCTGTGCTCTCATCTTTACAACTTTCAAGCCATTCAGGTCAAGTAGATCAAACTGGAACAAAGCGACCTTAACAAAGGACGTCATGTATTTATTCTAAGCAATGCTTCATCGAGAAGAGCATTTTCCAGGAACAAGGAGACTGTGGAAAGTTCACTCCTGGATCTTTTTCTTATTTCTTCTTTTCAATATTGCTTACCGCTGTGACATTTCTGTGCCAAACTGTGGTATGAGTTGATTCCTACACCATGTTTTGAGGGCCAAGCTCATACCACTAGGTGGTATTGCACAGTTGTGTGCTGATGGCATTGGTTGGCCAAGAGGCTGCTCCTGAGAAACTGTCGGTGTTGGTTTGAAGGACAACAAAGACCATCCTTGAGCACAAATTAAGAAGGCAGCTGGAAAAGGGGGCCAGAATAATCCTGTAGACCTAACAAAGGAACAGGAGTGACATGTTCTCAGCCTGGGCACGAAACCCCTGCAAGCAGGAGGAACCACATGTGCCAGTGGACTTCCAGATTTCTGCTGGTGACAGAGGAAAGGGGATGGCCTGGGCTCTGCTCTGGGCTCCAGAGAGCACGATAGCTACTGCTGACATTGGTTTCTTCCCTCTCCTTGCTGTTCGCCTTCCTCCTGCTCCTCTTGTCCCACCAGATGCCCGCTTCCCTTCTGGTCCTGGGCTCTTTGCTAGGCAAGGGCACTGGTATTTACCTTTCCAGTGATTTATTTCAGCACAGTTCTGTTCTCACTGGGTTATGAACAAGCACCTATTTACCTATTTACATTGCTAATTCAGGCCAATTCCCTGTTCCCACCCCCTTTGAGCCCCAAGCCCCCCAGTTCAGCTGCAGCCCCCATCCCTGGAGAGACACAACTGCGCCTGCTCCAGGCTGGTGGACAGCAGTGGCCCACAGTGGCCAGCTCTGCTGGGGACAGCCCTGCTGGGGGCTGGAAGCTGGCAGGGGATGGAGCGTGCCCCATGCAAGCCCCCCTCTGCAAGCCCCTCTGCCAAGCTGACAAGTCTCTGCTGAAGTACGTGAGCCGAGGCTTTTTAAAAACACATTTATAACTTGGCTACGTCTTCTGGCATCAGGGTGACCTCCCCGCCTTTTGCCAAATTTCAGACTCTTGCTCAAATAAATGGTTGCCTAATCTTGCCCTGAAAACCACAGAATCATTTTTACTGAAACTGCCCTCCCCTCCCCTCCTCCTAAAAGAAAATGGAGGGGGAAAGAATCAGCCCGAGGCCAGTCCTTGGCAGAAGACATTTCAGCCTGGATGAGTAACATCCAACAAGCTCATGAGCAACTGAAAGCAGAATCTCATAACGAGAACTGTCAGGCGGTGGTAATTACAAGCAGTGCTACCAGCTCTATCTGTAATGCACATCACCCAGAAAGAAAAGAGGGAAGTGCATAAATGGTAAAGATAATTTTATGTAACCCAAAGAGTTGGATGCGTGCCCCAAAGTGTCTGTTCTCATCCTACTTCATCCATCATGAGCTTCCCTTCATTGCTTCTTGCCATCATGCTCTTCCTCCTCTGCAGTTCCTGCCATCTGGAAGAGCGTTCTTGTATTCTTCTCCCTAATCTCTAATTTCAGCTTTCTGTTAAATGCATATGTGGGGTCCCTTGTCTTTTGGTCTTACTTTTCTCCTCATTCTGCTAACATTCATCTCTGCAATGGTTTACTCAACTCAGTTTAGAATATTTTGATTTTGTTTTAAAAGATATTAAAAAAAGGAGGCAAATCATCAAATATTTATGATCCTGAATACATTAATACTTTTGTCTTTCAGTGGACAGTTTATGTAAAGCTATTTCTTTATCATGAGCCATTATTTAAATCAGAAGAAGGCAAAAAAATCAGTTGCAAAAAATCATTGACATCTTAGTGTATAATAGCTCCATCTCCAAGAGCCCCTTACTAAAATTTATTCTGTTCCCCAAATCCCCAAATTAGAAGCACTGATAAATGCTTCATCCCTCACTGCCTATTTTTTAATGATGACTAAAACAACACAAAACAACAACAACAAAACTGCTAATGCTGCAGAAAATGCCTCTGTGAGAAGCAAGGAAGAAGTATTAACTTACAGTTTAGCATAGAAGCAAGCTTCAGATAAAGCCAATTTAGAAAAACAACAAAACAGCAGTCTGTAACTCACATCCACGGACACTGAATCTCACTGATGTGTTTCATTTGTACAATCTCTAGACATAAACTTAAAAACAAGCTACCAGATAAGCATGGCATATTTGTGAGCAGATTTTGCTGTCAGGCAAGCAGTGGGAGCTATTCACAGGTCGGCTCGCCCAGCTAGCTCTTGCTTAGATTTCCAGGGGGGTAACATTGTGCCCAGTCAGCTGGGGGGCGGATTGGGCTGTTTTGCAGTTGTAAATCTAGGAGACAGCCTTGTAAACCTAATCTAATGTCTTGCACAACCCAGGCTGTGGGGCTTCCCTGAGTGGATGTTTACTTAATTTAGAGCACAGTCTTCCTGAAAAAGGCCAACACGCAGGCACAGTTTCGCGGTAGCTCAAGGTACTTCACATGCTGGGTGTTATGAGCCCCAGATTTTGCAGCCATAATGCTTCAGACCACGACTAACCTTGGGTGTGACTGGAGGGCCCTGCAAGTTCCCTAAATAGCTGGCGTCTTCTTAATGGTGGTGAAGGCCTGCGATGTGCAGTTATCTAGCTGCTAGCCAACCCCAGCAGCCTAATCACAGTGATGCTAATGAGGACCTCTGTTACCCAACAGGAAAACGTTTTCCTCACTGGGATGTGAACTGCTTCACCTACTGCAGGTGGTAAAAATGAACATTTGTCTTGAAAATAGCTGATTGCATTTCAGTAGCAGGCTCGTTTACGTAATTTGCTGTTAAACTAATTTGCAGTCTAGTAACAGGTTAAATCGCCTGGGTTTTCTATTAGTGAAAAATCTGTCATTTCCCACAAACTTTAAGAAGGTGGGACATATTTCACTGAGAGGCGTTTGCCTTCACACAGCTGCTGAATCATGCTCCAGAGACAGGTTGCAGGTGTCATTGTAAAGTTGCCCCAAACTTTTCCTGCTGTCCCTATTGGAACAGCAGGAAAATCAGTTTTACTTAGAATCACAGAAAGGTTTGGGTTGGAAGGGACCTTAAAGATCACCTACTTCCAGCCCCCCTGCCATGGGCAGGGACACCTCCCACCAGAGCAGGCTGCCCACAGCCCCATCCAGCCTGGCCTTGAACACCTCCAGGGATGGGGCATCCACAGCTTCTCTGGGCAGCCTGTGCCAGTGTGTTTCCATGTCTGCTTTCACTTACCCTGATATTGGCTGGTGATTATGACAAGCAGCTATGTAGGCTCAAGAGGAGAATGGTTAACTGCTCGTTGGTGCCTCCTGGAGAGGATCAGGGCCCAAAGACGGGACCAGGTGACAGGCAGGTCTCCAGAAGAAGGGAAAGGACAGGGAGATAGTGAGGCTGCTGAGGCTGCTGAGTTTAGCTCTCTAGGTTGTACCTTCCACTGAAGGTCAGCAGGGAGATAAAACACCTTCCTACATCTCCAAGAAGTCCTACAGTATGTAAACCAGACCAAGGGCCTGATCTGCCCATGTGACAACAGGCATAAGGGAGACCCGAGCTACGTATTACATCTGTGCTTTTTAAAGCCTTCCTACTCCTTGCATGAAAACCTAGAGACCAAACTCCTTGGTTTCCTTAATGTCACTGCCACAGCTGGGCGAGCTGGAACAATATCTTCATTGTATTCAAATCAATTTGTGGTCCTCGCTTTCTGTATTCCTTTTCCCATTGCTGTGAAGTACTGAGACAGCTGTGGGGTAGTACAGGCTCGCCTTTAATCAGCCTTGTTCCAAGGGAGGCCTGGGAATTGCAAGGTCACAGATGCTGGGTTGTGAAACTGCTGAATGAATCAGGCAGGAGCAGGTTTGTTTACACAGAAAGCTGGTACACAAACAGCTGGGCAGCGCAGGACGAGGAGAGATGAAATGCAGACACTGTGCTCTAGCCAGAGCTTAGATCAAATATGCTTTCTAAACAGGCTCAGTAATAGATTTCCCAGATGTTGAGAACCAGATGTAAAAGATTATTTATGTGCTTACAAATTGAACGTTGCAAAGCCAAACTTTAGGGAGCTTCCCATGCAGAATGGAAGCTGGACCCCGTGTTAGGTACCCACCTTCCCTGTGTGCAATGTTAGGAGGACTCAACTACCTCAGAGGGATACAAAACGCCAGCTTAAAGAGTGAGAGCTATCTGATACAAGGCTGTTTGGTGAGAAACCTCTTGGAATGAACTGGCAAGAAGTTCATAGCTTAAACATAACAGTTTGTGTTTCAGGGTTCTCACTGCCTTGCTTTACTTAGGGCCAGAGGAAGAATGGCTCAGTCTCATTTCAGAAAAGAAAAGATGGCAGAGGTTGTCATACTAGGGCATATTGCATGTGATTGAAGAAACTCATTCCATATTATTATAGATTTTGAGTAATTTCTGTGTCCCCATGTGTTCAGCTCTCCAGTCCCAAGAGCTGTGGCAGTGCCCATGTGTAAGTATGGTGTTGTGTTCTTGTAGCTGCAAACTGGTGCCATCAGCAGAAGGAGGTGACCCAGCATCAGCACTGCCATGCTGGCCCACCTGACCTGGTAGCATGCTGTACCTGGTGTGAATCCCCTCCTTGCTCTGAAGGATTTAGACCAGCACAACCAACAGGGCCAGACTACTGAACATAGATAACTTGGACTAATGCTGTGATTGATTTTCCTGTCTTACTATAGGTAGCTGGGCTGTCGAGCAGCCAAGGACTAGAGAGTGATGGACATGACTGCCTCATCTAGTGCAGGAGAGTGGCAGGCAGACAGGAGGTGGGTTCTCCCAGACCAGCTCCCTATCAAACACAGAAACAGCTACCAGGTAAAACAGAAATGGTCCTAAGGGCAGGGAGTGGAATTCAGGCCTCCAAGGTAAAGGCTGGAAATATGAGGCTGGTAACAACCAAAATGGTGGTTAGGCTCTTTCTTGCTTTCTTTAGATCCAACACTAGTTGTCTTTGGCTGCATTATTTGGACTTAGGCACTCAAATTTATTACCAACAGCTGAGAAACCTACTGTCAGACATGGCCAAGTGTTTGCTCAACCCCCAGAGGTGTGTGGGTGGCAAGTACACAGAGTTGAGAGGTGTGAAGGAGGGCAAGTACGCAGCAAAGGTTGGCAAGAACTGGAGGTTGGCGCCCTTTAACTTGTGAAGGGGATTTTTTTCTCCTTCGCTCAAAGCTGAGAGGACCTAAGATGGCAGCAGTTTCTTAAATGCTTCTATTTTAATCAGGCTGCATGTAATAAGCAAGCAACAAACATGATATGAAAAGTGGAATTTGCAGAAAATGTGTCATCTGCGCCTGCACTTGTTCCAGGACAGCTCTGCTGCCTGCAGACTTGCAGTCAAGTATCCTGAAGGACGCTTGCCATTGCTCCAAGCTTCAACTTTTGATAGACCACTTTTCAGGAGAGCTGCCTCTCCTTCCCTCCATCTTCTACACAGCCACACAGGCCCTCTCTTGGACAGGGGCCAGGTCTTTCTGGCTCTGTAGGAGAGGACACAGAGACCCTGACCTGGGCCCTCCCGTGCACGCTGCAGCCCATCATGGCTGTCCTGCTGCCAAATGCCTTCCCTTCCCTTCCCTTCCCTTCCCTTCCCTTCCCTTCCCTTCCCTTCCCTTCCCTTCCCTTCCCTTCCCTTCCCTTCCCTTCCCTTCCCTTCCCTTCCCTTCCCTTCCCTTCCCTTCCCTTCCCTTCCCTTCCCTTCCCTTCCCTTCCCTTCCCTTCCCTTCCCTTCCCTTCCCTTCCCTTCCCTTCCCTTCCCTTCATCTCTTATCTCGGCAAACTGTAAACTCTCCAGTGCAGAGACGGCGCATGCACTTCTGGAGTAGCACAAAGGGCTCTCCAGGCTGCAGGGTAATCCAAGTAACAGATACACAACTGATAAGTCACAAGAGACAGAGCTGGCCAAAGTTCTAGGCAGGAGTATGACAGTAAAGTATTGAGAATATTGGGGGGGTTGAAGGCAGTTTTATCTAATTTAATAAACTATCTTATCTGGTACCAGGGGAAAGCAGCTCTTACGTAGCTACAGCTGCTACATGTCTTCATATATCTTTTCTGAACAGCATTAAAAACTGTTCAAGTCCAGCCAGCCACCCACAAGTTACTGCCCCAATCCCACAGAACAGTTGGGATACAAGGAACACATTGAAACATTACATTAAGTATTTTTTCTTGCCTGTGACTAGAGGAAAAACTCATTTATCCATGTAACAGGGCTTTGATTTCAGTGGAGGTACACAGCTGGCAGAAAACAGTAGGCAGTATTTGGGCTGCTTCTGAGGCAACTGAAATTCTGCATTGTGAATTGCAGATTTTATCTTTGTCTTTATATTACAGTCATCTTTGTTTATTAAAGATATTGTGTTCATATTTTCAAGTGTAACATTTTCAGAAGTGACTTTCCAGACTCCGGAACTATGTGCAGTGTAACAAAACAGACTAATTTGGTGACAAGATGTACAAAAGTTTGCCGAGATATCTGTGGATGACCATAAGAAAATGGTTGAGGACGTACCAATTAATTCACTAATAAGAACTGTAGGGTGTTAAGGTTCTTGAGACCTATTGCAGGTGATAAATAAATAATCAGGGTATTTTTGCAATTAGCCACTGGGTTGCTACTGCTGAGATGCCATATGGATAAGGGTTTAAAGCATGAGTAGTGTATGAATGTTGACTGGTGTGGAAGCTAGTGGGCACACAGGGTCACAGGCTGAGCTCCAAGGAAACATCCCCCAAAGATAAGGGAATCTTGTGTGTCTTGTCAATATATGAGAAAGGGCTGTAGGGGTGTGGGATGTATGGCTGCAGTGTTGGACTCGGGGTGGCTGATGCTGCTCTGGTCTCCAGCAGCCAGCACCATGCCATCGCCTACCCAGGGACACCTAGTTATCCAGTCTCAAAAATGACTTTTTTTTTTTTTTTTTTTTCCCTTATCTGTCCACTCGGTGGTGCTAAAACAACACCAGCCCTTTTTTTGGCATTTTCTTGCTGCCGTGCATCGGACAGAGTGTCTGGTGTCTTTGGGGGACGTTCAGGTTTTGGCTGTAAAGTTCTACCTCTGCAAACTCAATAACCAGGAAACCTGATGAGCTCCTGGGTCACTGCTCCACACCTTGGCTCTCTGTTTGCTGTGGCATAGAGAAAAGCAACACAAAGCACTCAGCATGCTTAATTACATAGCAAGAGATTAACAAACCTACAATCTTTTTCTCTGCTGTTGATTATAATTCGATTAATTTGTGACCCTGTGTTCTTTCCCAAGAAATGTGACTGAGATAGTGTTGCTACCAAAATTACTTTTGTTTTCAAAAACAGATGACCAAAAGGAATTAGTGCTCCTAGGCAAAGTTGGTGGGAAAAAATAAATAAATAATAATAATAATAATAAAAAAACAACTGGTAATCAATTGTTAAGAAAAAAAAAGATGGATGAAAAAGAAAAAAAAAATTTTTTAATCTGCAATACGTGACTCACGTGCCTCGATGTCCAGTGCTAAGCCCATCCTATATGGAGCAGCTCAGTGAGAAG